ATTCTACAGAGTCACGGACAACTGCTATTATTGATTTAATCTATCGTTTTTTGTGTAGAACAAGTAGCAAAACACACTATATTTTGAATTTAAGTTAAAGAGGTTATACACCACTCCGAAACTGCGTATAAACGTAGGAGCATGAACCTCAGGAACATGCGCAACAGCCACGACTCCTCCATGTCTGTGCAACACTGCTCAGACTTAGGCTGTTGGGGGAGGGGTGGGGGAGAGCGGAATTTACGTCGCTCTCGCTTCCCACTCCAGACCTCCTGGGATACTGTAAACTCCCTATATTTGATTTATAATCGTATGCAACCACCTATTGAGGGGGTAGCGTTGCAGAGGAGTGTAATTCACAGAGTCAAATAATGGCTATTGATATTAAAGAAATTGCTTCTGCGCAGGGGTGGGGGTGGTGGGGAAGGAGTGTGGACCAACTGATAGGTGGGTGCAGTATTGGTTGAAATTCTACACATCAGATCGATGGGGTTCCATCCAGAATGCCAATCGGACCGTCGACTCTCCTCCTTCTGTGACACGGCCACCGTTTGCTGGCTAGGCGTAGCTTCGTCGCGTGCTCCTTGAAATGAATGAAGTACCTGGCCAAGGTCAACCTCTTCCCCTTATATGTGCACATGATCTATGCTCTCTACCGCCATCCCATCAAGGATAATAGTGCCGAAAGTGCTGGGTGCCACGGTATAGTATCATGCGCTTTCACACATGGTCAGATGGAGGAGTGCTTGGCATTAACCGAATACACCTACCGACAGACAGAACGAGCGTCTAAGCCGCGCCCTCCTAGCCTTTTCAAATCTGGCCTGACCTAAAAGGAAGCTAGGAAGCCAACTGGTTACAAATGACAGCAAGAATATTAAAACAAACTGCTGAACACGACATATTCCGTACCTCGCCAGTTTCTTCCTCAAGTTTGCTATACAGTTCCACAGAATAAGCGAGTATAGGTTTATATCGATGGGCTGGATGACTGGCTGACACGAGTCCTGGTGAATGGAAGGACGTCCCACTGGGTGCCGCGACAGCTGCAAAATAACTGTTATCATTACTAGTGTTCACACGGAGTAGCATTTTGTTACTAACAATAAGATCAGAATAAAAATAAAACTTCCAAAATTACTGAATATTTTTATGGGGTGCGCCACATATTCTACCACCATTCAGGATCGTAGTGACACCTTGAACTCGAATGGCCTATCAAAGAGCTACACCTAGGTCGATATGTAGTAACTCTACTCTCCCACACGAGCCTCGTACCATTTAATTCCAGGGGATTCGCGTGGCTAGGGCTAGGCTGAACCGATACTTGGCTCACGACCGTATACGCGGTAAGTGACTTCACTATACAACCTCGCCACAGTTAGGAACCTTTCTGGAGAGCGGACAGACTGGTCCAAATAAATGAGCCCTTACTGACCCTGATACCCGCCTCATGGAGCTAATATGGTGGAGGAATGCCGGAGGTCGTTTCAATGTCATGTCGTACTAAATCCTTGAAAGATCTAGTAGCCCGACAGGAAAACCAGCAAAGGCTGCTTGAACTTACTAGAAGTCACACTCTAAAGGTTGATTGATTGGCGGACATTATTGAAGGAGTCCCTCCTCACCCCTCCACAGGCATCAAAAAATATCGAGACGAGACAGTAACCTAACACCATGCTTGAAAGCATAAGGCACGACAATTTGGTACTTGATCAAAAAGGGTAGCAGGGGTGCTATATAGTGGATGAAAAGGCGAAACAGCGAAGTGAAACGGTCGAAAACCTGGAACAAGCCTTTTCGTTTTGCATGCCTCAGAAACAGTTTTGGACGAGTTCCCCGATGGCATCGTGCCAATTATAGTCATATATCAATGCAGCACTTCAGCATCAGTCAAGCATTTGTGGGCGGGAGGGGCGGGGGAGGGGCGGTGGGTCCGGGCCGGTATATTGCAAGCTTGGTAGGGCGCTATTACGGTACTTTGGAGAGGCGCCATGCAACGCCTCCTGAGGGACATAAAATCTACTCCAGTTGGGCGTACTAATCCTGCACGACTTGGGGATTTCCCGGTCACTGCCTTTAGGACTTAACTTATGAGGGGATAGACAGCATGCGCGCTAGAAGGAACTCTCACATCCAGAAGCATGAAAATCAGTACTCGATCTCTCACATTTTTTGCAGGTAAATGCATAAATTTTGAAGTAGCTGTTTGTAAGTTTTGTATATTTAGTGCGAGTGGATCACTAAAAAAGCCAATCGTGCAACGATAAATTGTATACAAACCATCTTTTTCGAGAAGTAGAACGTCTTTAATATTTCTCTTAGTGAGATGATATGCCACAGAGCTTCCAGCCACTCCGCCACCCATTATAAGTGCAAACACATTATGAGTTGACTGACTTCTGAAAAACACCCTCTATACGATAATTCATTCAGAAATAAGTCACTTAAAACATCTGAGATATGCAAAGATTTCGTACAGAAATTTTTGAGATTTTCACCTAGTTGCAATGGCCATGACCGAAGGTCTCAGCCGGCCCACTCGTGTCAAGCTCATGATGATGGTGTGATTCGCAGCTGAAAATATCGCTGTAAGGGAAACACGAATAGCGCATGAAAGCTTTCCGAACGAGAGGATCGACATAACTTCATTAAACGGAGAATAATACGGTTTTTAGCACCTAAAATGCCCTTGAGACAAGGAAAAATTTGATGGCGTTGCACGAAGCTTACGAAACATCTGAATGCTGCAGGATGTTCAAGCCGATGAATCCAATTACATCCGAAAGTTCAGCGTTTGCGAGTATCTAATGAGCAGTCGCTTAATACGCTTCTCAACAAGGTGTAGCTGATGTGAGGATGTGGTAATTAAGAGTAAGTTCATGTACAAACATAAAAACAAAGAGGCACTAAAAATCTCTTATTGCAAAAAACTCCAAAGATCCAAAATAATCCAAAGGTTTTCGCGAAAAATTAGGCAGCTTATTAACACACCAACTTTGTTAGGCAGCTAACTGCAGTACAGAGCGCCGTGCAAGATGCTAAGCACTGAAATATCCGGAAGTAGGAATAAAAATATAATTTTCTGGGAAAACTTCTGGATTGCTGACTTTCGAGTTTTTTGCATTAAAGGTTTCTGGTAGCTCTCTATGTTTTTGGATTCAGATTCCAATGAGGGACCGGGAGAGCACAATACTATAACCACGAATTATAACTATCGAATAGGTCGAAGTTGGGGAGAAATAGTAAAACTATGCTGGAACAGTTCTGTGTAATATTAGATATTCGTCCTTGAGTGACTTAATTTCCAGGTAATGAGGACGTTTGATGCTCGCTGGACACATACTGATTACCATCCTTATGTACTCAAAAATAAGCATTATATATTAATGAAATTAGAATGGAAGAAAAACAGCTGAGGGCGTAGGAGACTCCTTCATACAGCTCCTGCTCGCTGACTAAGTTACATAATCAATCGATGACAGCGGAATCGATTCTGTTGCGAGTAGGCCGCTCACTGACTACAGCAGACTAGTATGTCTACAGACTAGCCAAGTTCATTACCAAGATTGTCAACGATCTTTACTCGACTGACCTTGAGGCTTTGTGGCCTTCTTGAGAGCCCAGAAAGCGAAAGGTTGGCAAGTTGCACATTCGAACACTACTGGACTTATTAGCACGTGCGTTTTTTGACAGCTATCATTTTATTCGAAAATTCGGCTTCACGTCGCAACCCAAAATGTAGTTTTTCGCCAAATTTCTCCCAGGTGTCCTGAACACAAAATGTGACATTCATTTTTGGCGCGTAGTAGCGTCAAACGACGCCGGCGCCAAGAATGAACTCCGTGGTTATGATCATAGCAGCGAATATCTCTCACGAACAACATTTCTGCAGGAATTTACTTCTTCTTGGGATTGTGTAGCTGAAGAAAGAATAGTGCTAGGACTGAGTTGTGCTTCTTCCAATTTGCAGCCTCTTCGCAAGAGGAAGTTCTACAAGTTCTGCAGCACTTTCCAAAATCGCACTTCATAATGGGTGAAGCATCAGCAAAGAAAGATTAAAAAACTTTTTTTATTGGCGTATGATCGACCTAAGTTTTAGCTCGGCAAAAAGAAACTCTACATAATCAATAGTTAAGAGCGAACCAATCCTAACAACTGATAACATTGTTTGAGTAACGAAAAAGGAAAACAACTGCTTATACCACATGAAAAGTCAATTCACAAGGGAGAAAAAGTAAAAATGCTCGAGAATAAAGAAGTGTATTGGCGATGCAATTAATACAGCATTTCTACACACTCTTAAAGACGCTGGGGTAATATTGCCCTCACTTAATTGCAAACAATCCACTTTGAATGTGCAATGGACTTTACTGCGACAGCTGCACGCTGGACGCCCGACGTTCCACGGCAAACACACATCCGTTCCTACTGACGACCAACGATCTCGGATTTTTAAACTACTTGTACAAGTACCAATAAACAAATACTTCACCCTCCTAATAATGTTTATAAACAACGCCGGAATAATTTACAAAACGGTATTCCAACAAAAAACACACTTTTGTGTCGCTACCACCTCGCCGTCCCAGTCGCCATCCTTTTGGCTCGCAACTGCTGCTTCAGGCTTCTACCGTACTAACCATAAGCCTCGTCCAGCAGGGCAAAAAAATCGACGATATTGCGAAAAAAAAAACAGAAAAAATCCTCGTTCAAACCGCGATCACTATCTGACGAACTATTGCACCAAATGCCACGCCATATTACACCAACGCTTTCGTGTACTTTGCGACGAGAAAATACGAAGAAAGATGGTGAACCTAAGGACAAAGAGGATGGTGAAGGTAAGATTTAGATAGTCCACAGATGGTCATTTAGGGGTGCTCTCTTTGTCGAACCTTTGAAGCCTTCAATGGAGCCTCCAAGCAAATTAAATTTCGGTGCTGTTCCACTGCGCAATCCTGGAATGCATACGCGTTTGGTGCAGTAGTTTGTCACATTATGGCAATCGCAACCATGCACAGTGAGGTTTTCGGAACGATGAGCTTTATTTCCGCGCCATCTTTCGGTTTTCTAAATGGACGACTTCCCTCTATCGCTGACTGCGAGACAGTCCACTGGTAACTCTGGTCGTCTACGCTCAAAGCCTGAACCTTGGTCAGGGGAAAGGACATGGGGGCGTTGAGATAAGTGCAGTCGAAAATTTTGATCAATTACCCACCCCCGTACCTCTCTCCCACCTATACTCGAAATCCCTGACAAGGGAGGTCTTTCAGGTCGTGGCGCGCTTTTTAAAAATGGTTTGTTGCTTGTTGTAGGGGTCCATACAAGGATTACAAAAATGGGTTTCATTTTTGCTATGCGTTTCTGGGAGGTCAAAAACTGAGTGAAAACAATTTGACAAGAAAGGGCGATTTTAACCGTCTTATTGGGCTCTGTTGTAGCTGTAACTTTGAGAGTGCATAGTTTATGAGGTGTTCCTTCACTATGTATCGAAAAGAGAGCAAAATAAAGTCAAAAAGAAGTGTGCATGGAGAAAAGTAGTACCGAAGTTACTTCAACGACTCCCGCAACCAGTGTTTCGTGGTCGGCGGATGGCGGAGTGGATAGTGCGGTCGGCTCTTACAGAGAAGGTTTGCGGATTGGATCCTCTTGGCGCCTCATTCTATACACTCATGGTTCACGAGTCGACCCTTACGTAACTATTGCGCTCTCGAAACATTACTGAGGAAACTCTTGCTGAAAGTTGGGCTCCGGGGATGACTGGATACCCACACAACACTCATTTTTGACCACGGCGCAGCCTATCGCCGATTTGCTGCAAGAGCATTCTTGCACTGAATTGTTGTCAACCCGCACGCATGGGCTGTTAAGCGCTCAGCTCGAGGAGAAAATTTTCGCTGAAAGTCTGTATATAGAATCACGGTTCTGACCTTTATAACTGGCGCCTAGGTCATTTGGCGCCAACATGGCTCTGAATACCCCCCCCCCTAACTGCGGGTTGGGATGCTGCGAGAATCACTTGAGAAACTACAATGCTGCCTCACTGCTTGAGAAACTACAATGCTGCCTCACTGTGTGCCAAATAAAGTACTTTTTCACCTTGACTTGTATTGTTTTCGATGCAGTGTCGACGAAGGTCTCATTTGCTGTGCATACTCAACATTAGAGATAGAAAAAAGCCTAGAAAAATGGTTCTCCTTCAGCAAACTTTTCACCCATTTTTTGACCTCCCCAGAAGCGCATAGCAAAAACGAAACCCATTTTTGTGATCCTTATATGGACCCCTACAACATGCAACAAACCATTTCTGAAAAGCGCGCCACGACCTGAAAGACCTCCCTTGTGAGATCGGGTAGGCGTGGCCGCATGTTTCAACTTAACCTGAAGGTGTCTATGCTTCTGGTGAGATATTTTCATCTTGACACAATTGTTGTCGTGTCTCTGTCCAACAGAACAAGATGACAGTTGTCCCAGACTGGAATATTCCACGAGTAACCAATTCCGTGCCATGTTCAAATGCCACGCCTACTCTGGCTCAGGGATAAGGAGTGTACGTTAGGGCTAAAATCTCTTCATTGCACCACCACGTCTCCCCATCAACCACAATTTTTTTTAGCGTGTAGACACTCCGATAAAAATCTCCAAAAGACAACGATTACCTTGTTCGCAGTGCATACGAAATCATTTTAGTGCTGACGGGGTTGGAGATGGAATGGAAGAAGCGATACGATTTCTGTTAGTCTGGGCCCTTTCACCGGAAAAAAAACCGATTTCAAAGAGGACTAGCCCCAGGCGTTATTCGTAACTCACGACACAAAAGACTCAGTCGCCTCACGTGTCCTTTCCTACTTTGAAACAAAGCTTTTGAGCCGCGTGTGGAACACGGCTCCAAGAGCTTTGTTTACCATAGGTAGGAAAAGCGCTCCTGAAAATCATCTTATCTAGAAAATGTTTGACTGGCGACGTCGGTTTTCGTCTAGTCCTTTTGCCCATATTCTCTCGTAATCGCGTATTCTCTATGAATAGCATTCAACTATTAACTACCACAAGTAATCCGTTATCACTAAGTACGAGTGGTAGCCTTTTTAAGAGGCTATGATGCATTTACTCGTCTACTCGTGTATTACGTTGAAGACATCCACTTTTTTGTAAATATCTCAAAAGCGAACCAGCTTGAAGATTAGAGGTATGCTTTATCACCATCCACTACTCGACGCCAGCGCTCAGGCAGCTTGTCGACCATCCTTCCAGAACGAGGCTGGACTTGAAGAAAGTTCGTCGCGAGTGCTTTTCTACCTATCTTTGGTTCTAACTGTTTTCCGTCCAGAGAGCCTGCAGCGTGGCTGAAAGCAGCAGTCATCAGAAGAGCGAGGAGGGCTTACGGGGTGGGGGGCGACCATCAGCACATCTGTACTCTCAGTTCGCGCCTGAGTCGCCTTTGCGCCTGTGAGGTTGCGGCATTGTCATGTAGGAACCTAGATTTCACGACATTTGATCCACGACTATGGCGTCAGA